TGGTTTATACATCACACTAAACCAGGCATGGCCAAACTTGGCCCTCCAGCTGTTTTTTGGACTACAACTCCAATCATCCCTAGCTAACAGGACCAGTGGTCTGGGATGATGGGAACTGTAGTTCAAAAACAGCTGGAGGGCCAAGTTTGGCCATGCCTGCACTAAGCCAAAGGTAAACCATAGAGAGGTGATATGCATAACTTGTAAGCCAAACTATGACTTAGCAAGGTCATGTGATCCACTTTGCTCCTTCCAAGTTCTTTTTACTGTTGCACTGCACTGAAATAAGCTAAGGTTTGGCTTGACATGTTGGCATGTTGTCCGAAAAAGGGCTTGTGGCTAAGTGTTCACCTCATTCAGTGCTATTTTTCTGGAAAAAGAGGTACTCATCATGAACACCTCCCTTGTTCTCTTTAATGGCAATGGCACCCACCTGAGAAGTGCCAGAACTGAATTCCAGTGAGTTCCGGATGAAAAAAAGCCCTGACCTCACTAATCATGAGCTGTTTGTAGGGGAACTTAGGAGAAATTTGTTGAGAGAGTTGTTGGCATACCCTAGGGGTGGGTATCTTAGCTGAGGTGTTTTTCTTGCTTTTAAAACATGTTGACAAGCACTGTATTCATTTGTGTAGTTGTGACTTGCAATATGTGCAGGCATGACTTGCCAAATGCTAGTAAAAGGCACCTTTTAAACAATTAAAAATTGGGTAATGTAGTGAAAGCCATACATAATGGAGAATATGTATGTGAAGGAGAATATGTGTATCTGAAGAAGTGTGCATGCACACGAAAGCTCATACCAAGAACTAACTTAGTTGGTCTTTAAGGTGCTACTGGAAGGAATTTTTTTGTTGTTTTGATAATGGAGAATAATCACTTGAACTTTCTGTTTAAATTTTCATGTCTTCTCTGCACCATAGATGTACAGTGAAAGTGTTATTTTTTTTGAGGGGGACTTCAGAGAGGTTCAGTTTGTTAGTTGAGGACAGAACAGAAGTTGCTTTAAGGTTTCATCACCATGTGTCACAGCTGTAAAGCAAAGGCTGTAGGTTAAGGAATTGGGCAGGGAAAGGATCCTGTTACTAGGCAGACTTAGCAGCAATGTCATATTTTCTGGCACAGACAGTGAGAGCAGTTTCATTTTTCATCTGCTCTTGGCTAGCATCTCTGTAGCTTGGAGGGTAAATTGGGCAGGACAAGCAAACCACACATATAACATGTCCCAGTTCATACATAATGCTAAACAACAATTAAGGTTATTAAGCCAAGAGCATCCCATGGATTCTTATTTTCCAACAGACCATAATTAATAAACCATAGTCAAGATGCTGGGTTGGGTTTTCATTTAACACCAAATCATGGTTTAGCATTATGTGTGAATCAGGCCGATGTGTAGGTGGTTTCTTTGGACTCAATATACTCAGAAAATACTATTGTGGAAGGAGAAGCATATCTCACATGGAGCACATCCAACTAAGGGAAATGCCGATGTACTTTAATAGTTGTCAGCGTTTGTTGCTCCTCCAAGGTATCTTCTAAGGTTATAGTATATCTTACATTATAAAAACAGTTACTTGATCATGCAGTTCAATGTGAGTTTGTCATGTCTGGGCTCAAACGTGTGGAGGAGAGGACAATTTGCTTTTATATGGCAGTTTAATTACTGTGTTAGCTTCTGTGATAATGCCAAAACATTAGGCTTCTGGATTCTTGTCTAGAGACTGTATAGTAATATTGGCATTGTCTAAATTTATTTGGTAATGTTTTCCCATTCCATTCACCCTCATTAGTACAAGAATCTAGAAAATCACAATGAATAACTGAAATACTTGGTGTGACCTTATACAGAATGTTTCTGGTGATGACAGCAAAGCTTTTGTCATCCTTGATATATGCCAGTTAAAGGATAGCTATAATATTAAATGTGGGATTAATTGTTGAGACTTGTTGGTCATACATAAGATAGGCTTCTGGTTAGTATTTTTACTGCTGATGTTTATATCTGGTGTGGGGAAGCATCCAAGTGTTGAAGTACAACTCTCTGGCCATTGGCCATGCTTGTTGTCGGTGATGGGAGTTACAGTTTAGCAGTATCTGGAGGGCTGAAGGTTCCCCATACCTGGTTTATATGAAGTCTGCATTAGCTTTTGTGCTCAGTGATTCAGTTACATATATGCACAATACAGGCAGCGAGTGATTTAGGTGTGTCCAGTATGTGCTTGACTTCGCACAATGCGCAGCACACTGAACTTGGAGATGACCTGAAAACCTCTCAAAAACATCACAGAAGGGATAGAACAGGGTGAGGGCAGGGATGGGACAGGGCAGCCTTACGCAGGCCCCACTGACATATGTGCTTCCAGAATGTAACCCCCATGTAAATTGGTTGCCTGTATTACATATTGTCTAGGTCAGGCTTTATTGCTTTAATAGCAGTCTGTGCTGTGAAGTTGAATTAGCCTAATGCTGGTGTGCCATCACCGACAAAAGGTCATTTGGCATGTGTATATACAAACAATGGAAAGCTCAACTTGGCACTTCTCTGACACTGGATTAGTGCAGAGATTATTGTCCTAAAAGGCCATGTCCCTTAGTTGTGCAATTCCTATATGGACAGCACCTCTTTGTAGACCAGAGTTGGAGAAGCTTTAGGCTTCCAGATATGGTTGGACTCGAACTCCCATAATTGCTGACAATTGATCATGGTGGCTGGTGTTGATGGGTGTTGGGAGTCCCACAACATACAGGAAGCCACAGGTTCCTCGTCCCTGGTGTGGGCCATAGTATGTGAGTGGCAATTTTACATGTGTGTGTGTTTCAACATATGTATACACAGTGGGGAAGGCAGGAAGATTCTGACCAAGTATATCTGACCGAAGTACCCCACATATAAGGGCATTTGCCCATGGTCTCTATTCAAAGTTTCATATTCATTCTCATACAGAATAGCATTCTGTTTTAAGAACTCTGCAATGTATTAAGTGGCCTTAAATATACTGTGGATCTGCTGCTGCTGTGTAGATTATGTTCTCTAATGAGAAAACATCAGTTTGTTTAAAAATGCATGAGGTTTGGTGCTCATTTTGTTGTAGCCACATTTTAAACATGCATTCGTTGGCCTTTGTGCTAGAAAGGGTAGCTGTATAAACCAGTTAGACCTTTTTTGGGTCAAGATATACTAGAAGGAGGAATATTGCAAATCTTGGTCTCAAACAAAGCTACAGGCACATTTAGCATTTACACTATACAAGTGAGAAATGTGTCAAACAATGTTGAACCAGCAATTGTATTGTTTGTTTAGCAGCAGCAATGACATTCTGCTGGTATTGTAAATCAACACTATCGTTTGAATCTTTTGTTCACAAATGTCTGTTTCACTGAACTGTAAAGTTATAGGCCCTGTTTCAATGTGATGCAAAAGCATATTTTATTAGTACAAGGCCTTCTTCAACAACAGATTCCTATATTCCTGCTGTTTCTGGTTGGGGCTGCAAGGAAGGGATTGAAAGCATCACCTTCCTAGTTTAAACTAATGCTGGCAGTAAGTAATGAATCAAATTATGTATAGACTTCAACAAAAGATATGAAGATAATATTCCCAGCTGATGATATACTTCTAAGCAAAGCTGCTTTTTCTTTTTTTTCGAAAGATGCTGCCCAGCTTTAGTATGACCTTCAATAATTGAAGTACTTCTGTTGCCATTTGTGTGATCTGCGCTATGTGCTGAGATCCTTTAGAAGTACCGTATTTTTCGCACCATAGGGCGCACTGGACCATAGGGCGCACCCAGTTTTTAGGGGGGGAAATCAAGAAAAAAATCTCCCCCCCCCAGCCCCAAAGAGCAGCGTACAGGCTGCGCACAACCTCTCCCTGCCGGAGGGGTTGCGCACAGCTATGGAGCAAGCCAAGGCAGGGGGCGGGATGGATCCCGCTCACTGTTTAGGCTTCCCCTTTAGCCCCGTGCAGCCTCCCCCTCCCGGGAGAGGCTGCATGGGGCTAAAGAATTCATAGCCCCGTGCAGCCTCTCCTTGCCGGAGGGGTTGCACGCAGCTATGGAGCAAGCCAAGGCAGGGGGCGGGATGGATCCCGCTCGCTGTTTTGGCTTCTCCTTTAGCCCCGTGCAGCTTCTCCTTGCCGGGAGACGCTGCGCAGGGCTTTCCTGGCTTTCCTGGGAGGTGGGGGGATTCCCTCACCTCTCGCAAAAGCCTGCAGAAGCCGCGCAACCCCTTTAAAGAGATTGCGGCTTCTCCTGGCTTTTCTGGGAGGTGGGAGAAGGGACTGATGAAGCCAGTCAGTCCCTTCTCCCTCCTGTGGAAAAGCCCGCAAGAGCGCACGGAGCTTGTGTGCGGCTCTTGGGGGCTTTTCCCGCCTGCCTCCCCCTGCATTCGCTCCATAGGACGCATACACATTTTCCCTTGCTTTTTAGGAGGGAAAAAGTGCGTCCTATGGTGCAAAAAATACGGTAAAATGTGAAGTACAGTTAGGCTGCTAGGTTTTATTAATCATTGTTTGAAAGAACACACACAAAAAATGAATGTCCATGGATCTGGTACATGTGGTTTGGAAAGGATAGGCTGCTTGTTTTTTGTTTTTAAATAGTGTAGTGAGTATTGTCTGCCTTCAAGGATAGGGCAGCTTGTCTAAATAAAATAAGCATACTGAAGGAAGAAGCTCTTTTTCTGTAGAATTCAAATTTTACAGGAAGCTAACAAACTTGGTACACATCTGATGTTACCTTTTTATTAATGAATCAGACTTTTTTTTAAAAAAAGTTGAATGAATTTTTGTAATGATTTGGTCATATTATATTAATTTTATCTCCTGTGTCTTTATTTTATATTGCTCTCTTAGTATTTTGAAATGTTAACTGTTTTGGACACTTTGTTGAAGAAGGGTAATGGAATTGCTAGAAATGTCAGTGTAATGAAAAATTCCTAAAACAAAGTATTTAAATAGTTTACCAAGTTACAATAACTGCACTTCAATGTCTGTCTTTCAGATCTTGAACCTGATGACTGTGCTTCTGTGTGCATCTTCAGTGTAGATCATTCATCATCTGTAAATCATCCTATTTGTATCCCTTGTCATGGATTTCAGTCACATCATTCTCCTTTGTCTTCGCCTACTAGACTGCAGGGTCATAAAAGCTATGAAGGAATGTGTGAAGTACCACAATCCAAGTACAGTGCACTAGGTGGTCCTAAGACATTTGAGTGTCCTAGCATTCAAATTACATCTATTTCTCCTAACTGTCATCAAGGAATAGAAGCCAGTGAAAATGAATTGCACACAAATGGCCCTCAAAATGAATATATGGAAAGGCCTTCAAGGGACCATTTGTATCTTCCTCTTGAGCCATCTTACAGGGATTCGTCCCTTAGCCCAAGTCCTGCCAGCAGCATTTCCTCCCGAAGCTGGTTCTCGGATGCCTCCTCTTGTGAGTCGATTTCTCATATTTATGATGATGTGGATTCAGAACTGAATGAAGCTGCTGCTCGATTTACCCTTGGATCACCTTTGGCATCTCCTGGAGGTTCTCCAAGGGGCTGTCCAGTGGATGAACCCTGGCAACAATCTTATGGATTTGGGCATGCCTTGTCACCTAGACAATCTCCTTGTCATTCTCCTAGGACTAGTATCACAGATGAAAATTGGCTTAGCCCTAGGCCAACCTCAAGACCATCATCGCGACCTACATCACCGTGTGGGAAACGGCGACATTCTAGTGCTGAGATCTGTTATGTTGGTTCACTTTCTCCTCACCATTCTCCAACTCCCTCTCCAGGACATTCTCCTAGGGGAAGTATAACTGAAGACACATGGCTAAATTCTTCTCTTCATGGTCTGACTCCTGGCCTTTCACCTTTTCAGTGTTGTGCAGAGACTGACATCCCTCTTAAAACACGAAAGACCTCTGAGGATCAAACTGCCATTATATCAGGAAAAATAGAGCTTTGTTCTGAAGAACAGGGTAGTTTATCACCATCACTTGAAACAGCAATAGATGATAGCTCTGGAGCCCAGCATATGTTAAAAAAAGACTTGTCTGGTGACCAATTTCTTTCTGTTCCTTCACACTTCACCTGGAACAAACCAAAGCCTGGCCATACTCCTATCTTTCGGTAAGTAATTGTGGGAAATGGACTACTTGTGCTGTTGTCTTTACATGTACATATGACTAGAAGTTGATACACTGTAATACAAGGTAGTAAGTCTCTTTAGGCAGTTGTATTCCTAAGGTATTTTGTTGAAAACAAATCACCTAGTGCCTGAACATTATATTGCCTCACAAATTACAACTAAATAACTTGTAAATCATTGAATATGTGTAGAGGTAATTTGGCCTAGACACAGACCTCATTCAAGCATAGTGCTAAGCTATTTTAAGTTTCACTTCCAGTTTTAACTCTTCGAACATGGATAAACTGGTCAATCTTAACTATGGTTTAGGGAAACAAATCTAGCCATGGTTAATTTTTTCCCCATGGCTTATTTCCCCAGGCTATGGTGAAAATTAGTTAAGATAAATCAGTTTTGATTTGGATATAACAATAAATTGCAAACACTTAAAAATGAAAGTCAAAGTTCCTGATCTCTTTGCAGCCTTGCCAGAGAATTAGAGACTAATAAAGAGGGCAGGAAGAGACACAAGCCCATAGTTTAGTGTTGTAAAAAAGGTAAAAAGGTAAAGGACCCCTGGATGGTTAAGTCCAGTCAAAGGCAACTGTGGGGTTGTGGCACTCATCTCGCTTTCAGGCCGAGGGAGCCGGCATTTGTCCACAGACAGCTTTCTGGGTCATGTGGCCAGCATGACTAAACTGCTTCTGGTGCAACGGAACACTGTGTATCCAAGGTAAACCACAATGACCCGGTTCACATGACATGGTGAGCCAAACTATGGCTTAACATGACTATGCAAATATGGACTTCCAGAGAGAAGCTTGCAAATTGACACGCTGGTTGGAGCTGATGGTTGTTGGAGTCCAACAATATCTGGAGGACCACAGGTTGCCCAATCCTGCTCTGTACCCTTCCAAGCTGTAAACAAGAAAGTACATATGCTGCTGTTATGGTACTATACTCTGTTCTTTGCTAGATGTTCTACAGATGTGGTGTAGAAACAGATAGGAATTTCACCTCTTATCTCTCCCCCTCCCCCTTTTCTCCACCAGAATGTAGCATGTTCAGAATCTTATGATCAAAGTAGGGCACATCCAAACCATACATTTAAAGCACATTTAACACATATTTCAAGCACGTGGCTTTCCCCCAATAACCCCAGGAACTGTAGTTTATTAAGGGTGTTGGGAATTGTTGTTCTGTGAGGGGTAAACTATAGTTTCCTCAGGATTCTTTTTTTGGGGACCCCCCTCAATGGTTAACACAGCACACTTTAGGTCTTTCCAATATTCAGCTGAGCAGCTACACAAATATATCCAATTAGGGACGTGAAATGACAAGCCCCCTTGTTGTTTTGAACAGTGTTTAGCAGGGCCAGTTCCAGAGATTTCAGAAGTTGCTGTCCAGACATTTTAGTAATTCAGCAAAGTCCAAAACTGCAACACTTTTTCATAACCCTGGTTCCCAGTATCCTCTCCATCATAGTATTGAATTAGATATCTTCATTTGAAACAGTCTCATACACATCATATACCATTTTTTCACAAATTTTAATGTTTGCTCCCTCCTACTAGATGATATGGATTTAAATGGGAATGTTAGTCACATAGAATTCTAACAACTGCCCATATCAATGAAACTGCCCATATCAATGTTTAAAAGTAGTTATTTGCATTACCACATTTTTCCTTGGTTGGTTGCTTTTTTCAGATAATTTCATCTGGTCCATTGAAATTGATGGACAAGGCTAACTTGGGTACATTAATTTCAGTGGGTTTATTCCAAGTAGAATTTAGTTGGATATAGCCCACAGAGTTTATGTTGGGTATGTTGAGCCCACTCTTCTCCTTTAGATCTCCCTGATAGAAAAATGAGAGTGCTTTAAATAATGCGTACCCATTTCCCTTCTTTTATCAGTGCAGTGGAACGAATTGGGTATTATTACTTAACATTTGTTTACTAGCCAGATGTCTGAAATCAGAAGGCTTTTTTAGATTTACTCTGATTTTGAATTAGCAATTCAACAATACTTTAATCCTTTTAGGGTTATCAGTCATGGGTTATCAGCCATAGCTATTGGTGACTGCCTAAACAGAAACAAAGTATATCTTAACTGTGTATTGCTCAGTAACATTAGAAACTAAGCTATGCAGTATTAAATAAACAAAGCCTTCAAATATATTTGTTGACCTGGGAATAAATGTCCCCATAAATTCAGCAGGTACCTTTGAAGTTATTAGGTGTTAGAAGAATAAACAGCTTAATGTTTACGCACCGTCTAATGGATCTTTAAAAATGCAGTTACATTTAAGAAGTTAACACAGGTGCGTGTGTTTGCCCTGTGGTGTTCTGATTTTCAGTCTTTTAGCAGTGGCAAACATTCTGACACCAGTTTAAATAAACTTTGGTGCTCTTAAGCATTAGCGTTGGATCCTGAAACCACAATTGCTTTGCATTTTCCTAGGAACTGGAGCCAGAAAGACAAACTTACTGGCTGTTGGAGCGTCCAAACTTCCCTAAATAAAGCTCCATGTTCAATTACCAATGTAATAGTGGAAGATAACCTACACATACAGTGGTACCTTGGGTTAAGAACTTAATTCGTTCTGGAGATGCGTTCTTAACCTGAAACGGTTCTTAACCTGAGGTACCACTTTAGCTAATGGGGCCTCCTGCTGCCGCCACGCTGCTGCTGTGCAATTTCTGTTCTCATCCTGAAGCAAAGTTCTTAACCCGAGCTACTATTTCTGGGTTAGTGGAGTCTGTAACCTGAAGCGTCTGTAACCCGAGGTACCACTGTACATGATTCTTCAAAATTGTGTAGTGCAAGGTCAGAGGCAAAAGAGAGAGGAAAAAACCTTGAAATGAACAGTATAGGCTAAGGCAACATTTGCTATATAAAGGTAAAGGACCCCTGACAGTTAAGTCCAGTCCCGGACCACTCTGGGGTTGCGGTGCTCATCTTGCTTTACTGACCGACGGAGCCGATGTTTGTCCGCAAACAGTTTTTCCGGTTATGTGGCCAGCATGACTAAGCCGCTTCTGGCGAAACCAGGGCAGTGCACAGAAACGCCGTTTACCTTCCCGCTGGAGTGGTACCTATTTATCTACTTGCACTTTGACGTGCTTTCAAACTGTTAGGTTGGCTGGAGTTGGGACTGAGCAATGGGAGCTCACCCCGTCGCAGGGATTCAAACTGCTGACCTTCCGATCGGCAAGCCCTAGGCTCAGTGGTTTAGACCACTGTGCCACCACGCATCCCAACATTTGCTATACTTTGTGTAAATAGGTTTGGGGCAATTGATGCTATTTGCCTAAGAGCAGCTAGTAGCCTGACATGCAGTTTGACAAAAGAACTTAGGTTTAACAATATTGCCCCTTGGAACAGGAAGCCTGTTTCTCAAGGTTAGAGCTGTAAAATAGAAAGAGTTTTGTGGCTGATCACTCTGCTCTTTGCCCACTTGCATGTTAAAGCAGTACACACTTTCTGCATTAGCTTTGCAATGCTTCTCTTGCTTGGTATTCCTTAGCCAGTTCTGCCATAGATACTGGGCACTGGTAACTGCTGTGCTATCAGACAAACAAATATTTAAGTAATAACCATAAAGAATTCAATTAAGCCTGTCATAGTCAAGTTGAACTACAGTGTATGTGTCATTAGTGTTTTAAGTAGGCAAATGAGATTCTATGTTCAGATGCTGGATTTACTAAGTGGTTTCCATTTTTTATATGTTATACTTGGACTAGTTTTAGTCGCAAATAATTTTTCTGTCTTGGAGCAGTCAGCTGGGTAACTTTGTGGTGGTGGTGTATATTTGTTTCATTTTTCATAAATGAGATCAATTTAGTGTAGCATTCTTAATAGTGCATTGACCTCTCACTGCAGGCTTCTCTTGATGGTGGGATATGAGAAATACTAATAAGCAAAAAAGGTTTTTGGGTAATGTTCTCCCTAATGAACATTTTAAAAATCTGCATCTTTTCTCTGATAGTTTGTTTACTCAAAAATACATTGCTAGCAGATATGCTTTTTACCTTGCTCCCCTCTACTTATTTAAAGTTTAGCTCTTATTTTGAGTAATGCTGACATTTCTTCTGGTATTTTTGTAGGAATTCTCAGTGCTTCATTCTCTTTCCTCTAATGTTAGAGGAGAAAATAATAGTGAATAAAGTGTATGCATTTAATTATAATACAGCTGCTAATTATAATACAGTTGCCAACAAGTGGTGATCATTCTAATAAGAACTCTCATGATTTCTATCAAGTTTGATAATACTATATTTGTATTATTTATTCATATATGCCCTTGCAGCTTGGGTGAACAAATTCACCTAAGTTTACAAGAAATGCATGCTTTCCTCCTTGGTTTTTCATCTTCTGAAACATGGAAAAAGGTGGATGGTAAGATGACTTAGCTAATTAAGGGTTCTGCTTCTAACCTGGAAAAGGCTGCATGGATTGCATTAAGTTAGGAGGACAGCACTTAATTATGGAAGGTGATCTTAAGTAATCCAGACATCTATCAAAGAAAGCTATCTATTGAGAAAGAGGCAGTCTTGGCCATATTCAGTAGGCTAGGGTTTGCAGGTGTCTGTTTATGCTCCAGAGGAAAGCTTAGGCAATCGCTGTATTACAAGCAGCAGTCTTTCCATGACTTCAGAAATGTGAGTTTACAGCCTGGCTAATGAATATTTTGGAATAATGCAAAAGTTTATTGTGGGGAGGGGGGCTCAATTACCATAGTTATTGGCTTTGTAGTATTATACTTCATTGAAGAATGAATTTCAGATTAAGATTAATGTTAGCCTAAATAAGAATTATGGTTCTGAATGCAGGCTTAACTGCTCATGATGGCCACATTGTATTTAAACAGTTTAAAGTAAATAACTTTTAAAATTTGATCCTGCTATGTTTGTTTGATCCTGCTTAGACGTCTGTTTTGTTTTGTTAGCCAATCTTTTATTTATAATGCTACAATAAAGATAATTAAGAATCCCTCTATGGCTGCTAATAACATTTAAAAATTGTTTAAACATCTTGAACGACCAGTAACAATAGAAAGCCCATATATGCATTCCTTAGACTGAATGATCAGGGTTTTTTTTAAATAGATCTTTTAATGTATTTAAATAAGAACCTAAACTTCAATAACACATAAGAACAAAGAAGAAGAAAAAGGAAAACAACAAACTGAGTGAAAACGAAAATTAAACTTGTACACAAATAGTACAAACTTGGGTTGCTTCATTCACATTCCCTGGAAAAACCTATTATTGGTGTTGGGGTAGTAATATTTTTAAAAATACTTGTTTTATTTTTAAATATCAGGATATTTTCTTTGAATGATCATATAGTTGGGCTCAAACTGTTCCACTCTTCTGATCAACTCAAGAAGTGAAATCTGTCCCATGTAGGCCTCTCTCATAATTCTTAGTGGGTGAAGTGGTTAATATGAGAGGAAGTGCTGGCTATGATATGCTGGACTAAAATATATGTTTTGGATGGGATCATTGTTCTCTTTTACCAAGCACACAGCTTTGGGTGCACCATATGTGGAATGGTGAGGGAGAAAGGGGACACCCACCTAGCCAGCCAGATCAACTGAATTAACCCTGGTAATCAGTGCAGTGAAAGATGTCACAGCCAGATGGCTCTCACATCCGACCAAAGGATACAGGGCTTCTGTTAAGGGTTGTTTTTTTGAGTTAAATTTTGCAGAAGAGATTGGGTGAGGACTTCTGCATGCAGTGAACGTTTATGAAAATGCAACAAATGTCACTTTTGCACATGGTAGTCTCTCCTCATTCATACTGTGTCCTTTCCATGGTGGCAATTGCCTTATAATTGACCACATTACCCTTGTCCAATGGTGGACAAGGTCCACCATTGCATGAAATATTTTACTGTATTCAATAGATTTTTATTCTGTTTGATTTTTGTATGCTCACTTTTATTACTGTATTTGTAGTGTGCCCTTGGCGCTGTTTAGGAGTTGAAAGTGCAGGGTATAAATGTATTAAATAATGAAATCTGTTCACTTCTTGTTTTTAGCACATCTTCGTTGCCTCCCCTAGACTGGCCTTTGCCTACTCAATATGGACAGTGTGAATTGAAAATAGAAGTGCAACCAAAAACTCATCATAGAGCACATTATGAAACAGAAGGCAGTAGAGGAGCAGTAAAAGCATCAACTGGTGGCCATCCTGTAGTGAAGGTAAAAGATGCTAATATAATGGTTTATCCGTGAACTACTGTTAACTTTGAATGTTAATGAAAATTGTAATAGAGGTGTGTGTTTTTAATGATAAATTTTGAAGCATTGTTATCTTGCTCTCCAACCTAAAAAGAGTCACATGGCAGCTTGCAAAGATCAGTTCCTGCTCTCAGCCTTGCAATCTAAAGGCATGGCACTGGTGGAATGGCTGGTTTCAGGTGACAATTGATGGAGGGAGGAGTCTGACGAAGGTGGCTTCTCTGCAGAGCTGATTGGGACACTATTTCTCTTCTATCCCTCTGAGGTAGCCCAATGAAATTATCTACGTACAGCCGGACTTGAGAACCTGTGCCCCTCCATATATTGTTGGACTCCATCAGCCCTAGCCAAGATGATCAAGAATGCCAAGAGTTGTAGTTCAGTAAGCCTGGAGGGCTTCAGTCCCTTCATCTCAGAGCTACAAAAATAAGGTTGACAGTCCTTTGTACAAGTATTAGAAAAGCTTTAAATTTTGTTCATCCCTGATTATCTGTGGCAAATGACTGTTACTTTCAAGGGATGAGGTGCACTTTCTCTGCTCTGGTAATAGCTTCTGTGCCAATAATGGAGAGAAGTGTGTTGAAGAGCAACATTACTGAGGTTTCATGTATAGTTCTCATATTCAGGGGTTGTTGTTGGGTTTTTTTGCCTTAAAGATCCTGTCTCAAGATAGAAAAGAAAACCAGATTGCCAAGAAATTAGTTTTCAGAAAATTACAAGTTATGTTTGATAATAAGTGAAACCATACATTATGTTTATGCTCTGTTAGTTGGGACTTTAGCTTGCTTACTTTGTGGATAGTGTTTTAGTCTAGAAATGCGCACAATTAGAAAAAGCTGTTTTAATAGATGTGATAATAGTTGAGTTTGTCCTAAAGAATTAGATGAAAAATGTAGTAGAAGGTGGTACTTTTTGTTAGAAACTGTCTGTAGGCCAGGGGCATGGAGGATATCAAGTTCCACAGAATATGCCATTGAGGAGAGTGCTGTTCCACTTAGTTCCTTCTTGTGGGCTTACCATGGGCATCTGGTTGACCACTGAGAACAGAATGGTGGATAGGTGAGTCTTTGGCCTGATCCAGCAGAATTCCTATTGAAACTAATTAGGCATGCTGTCCTATGAGCAGTTTCCTAGCAATAGGATCCACACTCCAGTCCAGAAGGCGAGCGTGACTTGACTGTGTTCGGGAATTTTGGTAGGAGCAATGACTAACACCTGCTCAACATGTCATTTTTATATACCGTACAGATTACTCGCAATTTACACACATTCAACTTTTCAGCATTCTACTTTATGTGCTTAGCATGAATGAATGAGGCATAAAGGGAGTGGGTGTCTGGGGAAAATAACTTTGGCAATCCTACCCACCATTGTACCCATTGTGTTTTGATTATATGCAATTTTGGCTTTATGTGCTACATAACTCCAGCGTAAGTTGAGAGTTGTCTGTATAACACAAGTGGGCTTTGAGATAAACGTAATACCATCTATATGAAGAAGCACTGGAATTTTTTAAATTATCAGTTCAGGTTGGGAGATGGGAAGGAAGAAATTTCCTAAATTGTATAATTTATGTAACAATTAAATGAGTGGAGCCCAAATAGAACCTTGTTTTACTTCCCTGGATAGAAATATTGAATCTGAAACAGAACCCACAGATCAAGTTCAAATTTTAACAGCTCTTACTTTTTAAAAAAGCAGCTGTTTATCCAAGTAAAACTACTCCTTTTTAATCAAGAGGGCAAACACTCCCCAGGTCAGGGGTCTGCAACCCGCGGCTCCAGAGCCGCATGTGGCTCTTTTATACCTTTGCCGCGGCTCCGGGGCGGATACTAGCGAGGGGAGGAGGCGCATTGTGCGCCCTGACACTCCCCACTGTGGCGGGCGCTGTACTGGCTGTGACGTCGCATGGGGGCGGTGCGTGCGTTAGTCACGCACCATCCCGACATCACCTTCCCGCCCGCTGTCAGATCGCGGCTCCGGAGATATATTTGTTTTAAATGTCGCAATGGTTTTGCGGCTCCCAGTTTTTTTCCCCTTCGGAAACGGGTCCAAGTGGCTCTTTTTGTCTTAAAGGTTGCAGACCCCTGCCCCAGGTGAAGAGTCTAGTTGTATTATATATTTTTCTTTTTCCTCTGCTTGTTTCAAATATCTCTTCTTTTTTACATTTGCCATATGTATGTAATACTTTAGCACTTCTTAGTAGTTATTGGACTGCTTTGAAAGTAAGTTAGGATGTATGCGGCATTTCACCCCCATTTGTGTTATTCATGAAGTTTATACACATATATGTGCTCATGCACATAGGTTCAGTAACTGATACTGAAATGTATGTGATCTATAGGAGCTAATGTAAAGGGATGGCAGCTCCCCATGCAGGAGATACACTACTATTCCTTATCACAACTAAAACTCAGTTGCTGATCTGTACAGTCATTATTCAGTGTCATCTTGTGAAGAGGGAAGAAGTTGAGTGGTCTTCAGTCTGTACAGTTTTAGTTAACTGTGCTGTCGTGCTTTCTTGCTCACCAGTTGGTGCTGGGCACACCAGTCCTTCCATTCTCCCCTTGTCTTTGTGTGAACTTAAGTTATCCAGAGAACTTTTATAACTGGACAGCCTATAGATATAGTTAAAGGTAAAGGTAAATAAAAATGCTGCTGTTCTGAGAGATTTACCCATAGCACTGTTCTACTGTTTGTCCACTTTCAAGTGTCCATTAATGTGTCCAATTTGAGTGATCATCTCTTCTATTTCAGTAGTGCAGTTGACTTTCTGAGTTGCTTCTACAGTTTTTGATTGAGAGAGATGCAGTCTTCAAAAAACAGCCTCTGTAAACAAAGTCTTGAAGCAGCTTGCCAAAAGTGTAGTTTATGTGGAGCTGGGATTATTGAACTAACTTTGGATAAGCTGATAGTTTACAAGGATTTTTCTTGTTTTATAATGGTTATTAGAACCAGTTAAGTGTTGCAATGTGAGATTGCTAGAAACCTAAGCACCATGCATAGCCTTTTATAGAATAACATCTTAGCAGTAAGTATTAAAACTGGTTGTTTACAACTTTTATTTTGAAGTAAGTCAGCTTGTGTCAAAGGAACATTACTAGGACCACTTCTATAATTAAGCAAAATAAAGTGTGCTGAGCTTGGAGTTCATATGAGAGCCTTTCCACAAAGCTTACATTATTTGATGGGGGCAGTATTGGGGTATGAATTATAAGGTATTGGAAAGTAATAAGAAATACCAGTCAGGATTCTCACTGGGTGGCCTTGGACAAGTTCCTGTTTCAGCTAATAAAGCTCATGGACTGGTGGTGAGGATAAATGAAGATAACAGAGTTTCTTGGAAGATTGGTGCAAATGCATTGAAAATGAGATGAAATTTAGTTTAGCCTTGAATTGAATGTAGAACATTTCTGACCATAATTACTAAAGGAGCTTTCCCCACTCATTCATTACAACTTGACTGTCATGTTAGTCTGTTGTGCCTCTGTTTCTGGTGGCTGTTCTTTCTTGTATTTTCTTTTTTTAAATAGAGATCTCCAAGGGCTCCAGCATTTATTATCAGTTTTTAGGTCCAAACTAGTTTAAAAAGTGAGAGATCTGTGAACATATCGGTTGCATTTCAAAATCTTCTATTTCACTCTTATTACTACTGCATTGGTAGAAGGTTTGAATCAGGGTTGTGCAGTGGAGAAAGGGAAGATTAACCCTAACCATGTGTCATCTTTCCATTTTTAAATCCCCTACCAGTTGCTGCTTGCCCCATGAAGAGAATATTAAAATGTCTTGCAGTTCCTCCATTAAGCACAAACTGATATTGTGCCACTCTGTTTTATTTTCCCTCTGTGCATGCAGTTGGGATTTTCCTGAAGCTGGTACAACTACATGTGTTTAGAAGTTAGCACTTAATTATGAAATCTCTGGCCTGGTAGCTGGAGAGTTTGCAAGAGAATTGATAAGGTGATGGTGATGAAAATGTTGTTTAACATTGGAGCATAATGTTTAATATTAGCTTGCCTTTTCCAGCCCTTCCATTGTATGTTCTCAAGATGCTTACCCCCAGCACCTTTGAGGCTGTTCTGTATGTTGGTGGTTAAATACAGAATAAACTGCCAATCTGCTAAAGGAGGTGGGGAGTCAAAACTAGAAGATACAAAAAACGAACTTTGACTAAAATGACGTTTTAAAGTTTGCCTGTTCAGTTTTCTTTGCTATATGCATGCTCATTTTATATTTTTGAAATTTTTTACAAGTACCTGTTCTGCACCAGTTCTGTGCTTGTAGCCCCCCAATCTGGATTGTGTGGGTTATTTTCTGCAAGGACCTATACAAGATGGTAACTTCAGATCTGGAAATTTAAAGGTCTAACCAAAATAATTCTAATGCTGTATAATATGGTAACATTATTTCATTCCAAAATGTCAGTTACTAATTCAAACAATATGGTCAAAAGTTTAACCTTGTTTTTAAATTTTATTTTTATTGCTTTTCTTAAGTTTAAACAACAACGCGTGCACACATATCACAACATACACAACAGAAACAAAGTTTAACTTTGTAATAAAAATCTGTATACATCTTTGGTTGAAAGCATCGTGTTCTAGATATTTTCAAATTTTAAAAATGCATACATACTGATTTTCATAAATTCATCTCGCTCTACATAAAAGCAGAGTTATCCACCTGTAACACACTAGTACAATGAGTTTTTTCAGGGGGAAACTATTGTAGCTTATCCTTTGGTGACCTTCTCTCTTCAGCCTTTCAGCTATAGTTTAACTTAGCATCCACTGACCTTTGCTATGGAAACGATACAGAAACACACAAACAACTTGGCAGAGTTTCCTCCATAAAGCAATGGGTTGTGTGTTACAGTATACAGTTACTAGCGGAGGGTTTTTAGAGGTCAGTAGTGACAGTGTGCTGTAACTTTTTCATTATTTACAACATTCTTTTTGATC